ATAACCTTTTACCTCTTCATTGGTGGTCAGTGGTAGTGTTATTTTACCCCCTCTCCCGCATTAATGGTATTAATTAACCCCCACCCCTCCTGATTAGAAGTAGTTCTTCTAGCATGCCCCATTCAGCCCCCCTCTGCACCCACACACATTGTTGTCAAAGAAGAAAAGTTTTATTCACTTTATGATTTCATCTAGGCTGGCTCAGGTTAGGCAGGTGCAGTCATCGATCAGAGAGCTGCTGACTCAATCACATGTCTCCAAGCAATCACCTTCCCACCAGCATATATGCCTCTCTACCAGCACAGCATGCAACATACTGTGGTTGAGAACAGGGGTTGGCAGAGGGCAGGACCAGCAGGCATAGTTGACCCACCACTGAGAATGTCGGCAGACAGGAGGCAGGACTTTCAGCCCTAGCTGTTGCACCTACATGGACAGATGCTCTAGGGGAGATTTGGACCTCCATATCCCCACCCCCCACCTCCTATCTACTCCCCTGTCTAATAAGCATTGTATCTGCTTGCTGGTGATTTCTGCATTTGCAACCCATTTGGTTTGCGTTACCGCCGGAGTAGAGACTATTCATTAACCAATGTGAATGTTCGCCTAGCTTACTAAGTAAGCCATGTTTGTTAGTTGTCATGTGCTAACAAAAATCCTGTTGTTTCTATTTCCCTTATACGTAATTGTATTTAAAGTGAACACACCATCATCTTTTTTTTTACTATATTCACTTGGCAAAATTAACATTCACTTTACTAAGCAAAAGTCTCCTCTTTTTCACACCTATTCACACCTATTGCCAACAAATGGCTACATTTCTTAGTTGAAAAAACACCAAAATAACTTATGTAGTTTATATCTGCCACAGACAGGAATGCAAATTAACAGTTATAAACTTTGCTTTCTTATGTACCATATTTATATTCAACTGAAAAGAATGTGTAGAAAGCATTCAGGAATTGTCAGAGAGCACTAGCATGCATTTCACGACTGGCAACCCAGAAAGAGGAACACATGTTGAACTGCTGAATTCTACTATAATAATGGCAGCAGGTGGAAGCGTTGGAAGCCAAGACAGATTATGGATTCTGGTTTAATATTTGTGTCTATTAAGGAGAAAAAAAAGACAACTGAATGGCAGCTAAGCTGTTTATATCCCCCCACTAAAACAAGAATGGGTGAAAATTCCAACCAAGTTTGATGTCTAAATGAAGTAATCTCCACAAGGAAAGAAAAGATTATTATTTGTTAAACTGTACAAAAAAAATCAGACGATAATATGGCTTTGTTCACAGCATTGCATAAAGGAGATTAAAGACGGGAAACAAGCTGCTTAAACACTGTAAACTAATTAGTCCAATGAATTGTTTTCCCGAGGTTCATGAGATATGAAATATTGGCACTAGTGCGTGAAATACACTCTGCCTCAGTGCTCCTTTCAATTTATTTTTCTGTTACTGTCACATGTGCACACAAAAAAGAGTAGTCAATATGAAAAAAGAAAAGGAGAAGACTAAAATCCTGCTAGCTTGGAGCATAAGACACATTGAAGGCTGATTTCTGACAAAAAGTGGAGCGACTTGACCAGCTGTCATTTTTTAGTTCAAGTTAGAGAATGAACAAGGGCATTAGCTACTATGGATAACACATTTCCTCTATTTTTATACCCAAAACCATTATGTCCAGCCTAATACAATTGCATTCACTATTTGGAGTAGGTACACAGATAGATCAATCCAAGATCAATTAAAAAATTGCTCAACTCTGGTAATTACCTTACCCCTGCTTTTTCACATTGTTGCTGACAAATCACACATTTTTTTCATTAATATTTTGATATCCTGTGCTAATAATTTTTCTTAATTTGACTCTCATGTTCATTGCATCGCTTTACAGTTCAGTTGTGCAAAATCACTGTATAACCTTCCTTAGGTCTTCCAAAAATGTAGTGTGTGAGGGTCTACTTGAGCAATCATTGATATCTACCCAAGAAGGTCTACTCGTTGTATAGTTGTTGATCTAAAGGAAGTTGCACCAATGATATATGGAGTATTGCCAGTTAAAGAGAACAATATCACATAAAACAAATTTGATTTGATGTTGAACAAAAAGGAGGTTATTTACTAAAACTGGAGCATGGAAAATCAGCTTCCAAGTTTTATTGCCATAGCTTAATTGGACAAGTTGAAGTTAGAAGCTGATTGGCTACCATGCTCTGCTGCACTGGATTCTGAATGTACCAGTTTAGTAAATCTACCCCTAAGTAAATCAACTCCTTTGACTGCTTGGTGCCTTTATTGACTGACTGCATGGAATATGAAGACTGCACTGTCTTTCTTTCGCATCCCCTTTTCTGTTCGGATATCTGCTGCATATATCTGTTGTATATAGATTTTAAAAAGTTAACATTTTCCCAGTGTTATAAAAAAAAATCCCTGGGACAAGTTATTTTTAAACAAATGTGGGCTGCAGTTGAAATGTAGTTATGATGAAACCTATGGTATTATGTGAAATTGAGTACATGGGTAGTTTTATGATACTTTAGAATGATTAGTGTCTTATCATTCGCTTGTACACATAGCAATCGATTTTTATGGTGCATTCCAAGACAATCCTTATGATGTTTGCAAGTAACAATAATGATGGCCGCTGGCACCCATGGGATCCTCAAGTACAGACATACATCTAATTAGCCTGTCTGCCTTCAAGAATGCATTCAGTATTTTTATAAACCTGACATTTTATAGAACAAAAAATACGCCAGAGGTTTGGCATCAGCTTCCACATCAAACTCAATCTTTATATTCAAGCACATTGATAGACACTTTTTAATGGGGCTATCTCGAGTGGCCAGTAGATTTGATTGCTTGTTCATGTCATATATTTGTTTATAAATAGCTAAATATTTTCTACTAAATATGAAGATCTAAGCTAGCACAGAAGAAGAGGCTGTCCTCGTAGTCTTCTTTAAAGTCTAAGTCAAAACAGTTAAAAAAAAAAATCATCTATGCAAAGTGTCCCTTGTGCTGCTGGCAGTGGATTTAGTTGAAATCTTCAGTCCTTTGTTCATCCCCTATACCCCCACAGCTGTAATCTTCTAGTGCTGTGGGGTAATACAAGCTGAGGGTCCTGCCATGTGTACTTGTCAAGAGTGTGGACCCACCCTTTCTGCCCCACTCTTTCATTCATAGAAAACTTTCTATAGTTTCTACGAATTAAAAAATATCTAGGAATGGAGGAGGAACACATCATCATTCATCCTCATCATTCATCTTCATGTCATCCATTTAAATAGCGCTTTTAAATCATGGAAGCTATAGTAGAGCATTTATGAATGGTGGTGAAGGTGGAAAGGACTGGCCAAGTGCATATGGCAGGCGGCTAAGCTCTATTATTCTCCTGTGGCACAGGAAGATTACTGCTGCAGGATTGGGAGGAATCAGAGGACTGAAGATTTCAACAAAACCCACAAAGAGCAGCACAAGGGACAACTTTGCATTGATTGTATGTACGTGTAGTGACTTTTTTAATGCTTTCATTTAACAAAAAGGCTTTAAAATTGTATCATCATGCTTTTAGACTTGTTATCCTGTATCAATGTGACAATTTCTGAAAGCTGGCAGGAATATACCTTGAAAAATTACCATTTGCAGGTAACCCCTAATCAATCAGTGTGATTTACTGACTGTATGTTTCATGCAATCAGTGCGGTGAAACTGGGTATTATGGGATGCTACAGCTTGCATGTTTCTTTTTGCCTAATAAAGGGTTAATAAAGGCATTTAAGACATATGAATGACAAAATCGTAAAGAGTGTAAATGAATATCTGAAAAATTTTTTGGGAAAAAAATAAAGGGTTGCCTGTCAGTAAAGAAGTCTAGAGGGTTCTTTTTAGTCTATGTGATAATTCCTTCAATAGTACTGTGGAGCCGCAATGTTCCATTGTATAGAGTTTATGCGATCCAAATACTTAGCACCAAATAAAATGATTCACTTGAGGCCACACACTATTACTTAATCTGACCTGGGACTTTTAGCTGCATAACACAAACAGAAACTGAAATATCATAAAACAAAAGGTAGTGATGTAACAGATTCGACTCCAAGAAAAATAAAGGATTTGTAAGCTTACCTTCAGAGACCTGCTCTGGGCTTTCCACAACAGTCCCAGTTCAGTTGAAAGCCAAAAGTTCACTGTTTTTGCTTGGCGGAAGGAAAAATAGTCTGTTACTTATCAGAGATATGTTCATTTAGCTGTAGCTCTTTTTATAGTTCACAGTGCTGTTTAAAGTTATTTGAAAGGTTAGAAAAGAACACTGTTAAGATTACTTTTTTTAGAATTATAAGAAAAAAAAAAAAAACTTTTTTTTTAGCTGTAGTCACTATTAGCATATAAGTGTGCCACGTTGTAACAGGTGCATAGAAGTGCAATTAACATCCCTAATTTATTACTATCATATACAATAGCTCAGTGAACAGATAAGGCTTCAATTAGCCTGAAAAAGATAATAATAAGATACGTATTGCTGGTAATTTACCTGATATCCAGTTATCTGTTTTTTTGGGGTCTCCATGTATTGGCATTATTTACATTGGTATTTTTAAATCTTGTTTCTTTTTTATTTCTTTACACCTTTACATGTATACAGCCAAAAAGAGCCATCCTAAGTGACATTGGATCACTAGGCTTTTGCTAATATCAGATTATATGACCATTAGCACTAGGCAGGTATTTTAAAAGTAGTAGCAAAAATTGGAGCCCACACTTCAAACACATGGCCAGTAATGATAAAGGCCCGTGCACCTGGTGTTCCACATTGGTACCGTTTATGGAATGACCTATGTATTTTTGAAACTTTGTTAGTAAATAGCCATAAGAAGATAAAAAAAAAACAAATAACAGCAGACAAAGTCAGACAGATCACCCAGAAGACTAGGAAGTTTGGTAAAGACAGTAAAGACACAAAGACTGTTATGTACATAGTTAAAGTGATACTAAACCTACAACAGTAAAATCAGTCTGTATATGCAGTAAATCATGCTTGATATACTCACTGTGGGACCTAAGGGGGTTAATCCTCTGCATTGTGTAAAAAGGCTGTTTAATCCTGACTTCTCTGATCCTTACCTTCTTCCAGTGTCCTCCATTTATCTACTGATAAGACATATTGTGTGGAGACACTATGCTCTTGGTCAGTTTGGTGTGTATTGCTAGAGAGGTTTTTTTTTCTTGGAAGAGTGCATGTGATCTGCACAAGGCCAATCAACACTGTCCAGGCAGAGGTCAGAGGTTCTGCATCCTCCTAGAGCAGAAAAAAAACTCCTCCTTCAAAATTTAACCAGTGCTCTGCTGAACACTGATAGAAGTCTCAAGGCTGCTCTAACTGCTGATGAGAAAAGGTATTTAGCAGTTTATATTTACTAAAATAATTGCATTTCCATGTTCTGTGTACTGTGGGAGACCAGATAGAGTGAATACAGGGTCCTGAGTTTTAGTAATACTTTAATAAAGGTGATAAACTTTGTTCATATTACTCTAAAAATTGTGTGTAAATCTTCCTTCAAAGCTAAGGAAAACCCCGAGACTGAACACCCACCTGGAAATGATCAGTGCAACTATAATATGTGATATTTTAGTTGCTTATGATACAGTGGGCAATTGTAATATAACATATTATTAATAATAAATGACATAACATCGAATTGTATGTAAATGTAATTGATCTTCTAGAATTTTAAACAGCAGCAGAATCTGGGCTGGATATTGGCTGCGGCTATATCATAGCAACATACTTTCAGTGTGGATGGTGGTGGGAAGACTGTTGGATGAACTGCATTGTATGCAATGGTTTTCTTGCTGTCAGAAGCATTTTCTGGTGCCTCATCTTCTGTTAAAGGCGCCAAACTTTGTGAAACATAACATATTTTTTTTCCATTTAATGTCATACTCCTATACATACATAGTTATTCATCTAAATAAATATAGTGTGTTGCCTGGAGTTCTTGTTTAACACAAGTGTTTATTTTACGCTAACAATGGAGTACAAAACCAAGCGAATGAGTAGCCACAGATTTGTAGCCATTTTCAATTCATTCAAGACTTTCCTGCAATCCATAATGTGAACAACATAGAACCTTATAAATATGTATGAAAAATTCACTTTCACATTGTGCAGGGATTTAACTTATGGCTGCAGTAAACCACAAAAAATCATAAAACAAAAAGAAATATTTATATATGCCTTAAAATTGGGTCTTTTATGGCATCTGGCATATTTTACTGTAACTGTACTGTCAAGATTTTGTCACAGACCTCTGATGGTGAATAAGCAATGAACTATAACACATGCACTGTAACCTAGATAACAGCCATTTATGCTAACACTGTTTGCTGAAAACACTCACAACTGAAGCATTTCATCTCTGCAGAGTATGGTTATGTTGTACTTACGGTATTTTTTAAATCGCTATTAGCTTTTATTGAGATACACATCAGAAGTATAAATCCACAATGAGACAAAATAACACAATAATATAACATCAGGGATTACAATAAAAACTCGTTAGCTAGAGTTACAAACGTAGGTCACAACAAAATGAGTACAGAACTGTAATGCCATAGTTGAAATATACAGTATATAATGGAAGGAATAAGCAAAATATAACAATATAAGTACTGTAGTGTGATACTATTATCAATGCATACTGTATCTTAAACAAACCAATAAATCTGGTAAAAACAAGAAAGGGGGACAAAGTATCTGATGAATTCCCAATACAGGTGTATAGATGTTAGCTAGAAAGGGACCTTTTGATATACAAAAACAATTAAACATATTGATGCAATATAGCTACATAGTTACTTAGTTAGTCTTGGGGTACACCACTAATATAGGAAAACTGAAGGAGACACAGAAGTTATAATTAAAGTGTAAGTCCAACCAATATTTTAACCAATTTTTTCAATTTCTTTTTCTTTTTTTTTACTCTTGTGACCAGAGAAATACAATGTTACCATAGTAACACTACTATTCTGGGCAAGTTTTTTTTTAAAACACTATGATTGCTTATACCAGTGAAATTTCACCGGTATAAACAACCATTTTTACTGAATGAAACTGATCCAGTCAGTATATCTTGTTGTGATTAGCTGTGATTGGCCACAGCTAATCACATGGTACAGATTGGCTGTAATGGATTTTTTCTGTACCATGTGATCACTGTGACCAATCACAGCTAGCAACACAATTGTAATGAATGGCTTGAAAGGAAGCCATTCATTATTTACAACTGTCATGTGATTTGCTGTGATTAGTCACAGTGATTACATGGTACTGGCAGTGGGCCAATACAGTGATCAGACATCAGCTGTATCAAGTGGACACAGCCGGTGACAAATTCCACCACGAGGTGTGTTTCTGAGAAGACGTCATATGATGTCCACCTGGAATGATGAAAGTCCCGCCTAGCTGTGATATTACAATAGGCCGACCCAGAACTGGTTAAGTTCTGGATAGATTGAGGTAGGGCTAGAACCTTGGTCAGATTAACCTTTGTTGAAGTTTTTTGAGAACATTTACAACAACTTTATGTCTCAGTGACAGAATTGAAAGTCTTCAACAGATACACAGACAGCAAAAAGGCTAAATCAGTGGTTAAAACCTTCCACTACTCTACTTAAAAAATTTTGTGATGCTTTATGTGCAGGTAACCATGATATATACATTTACAATAAATGTATGAATGGAAACAGGCTGGGGGGGTGAAGATATACATTATATGATGAGAAGTATGTGGCCACCCAAAAAAGTATTGTTTTCAGGTACACAAAGCCAAGTCCATGATTTGTCCAAAGGACAAGATTTGACAAGGTTAATGGGAAGGAACTTATGTGACCTGCACATCAACCTTCACTTTTTAAATGAATTGGAATTGCAAATGCAAGATAGGGCTTCTCATTTAACACCAGTAGATGACTTCGCAAATGCTCCTTTGGCTGATTGGCCACCAGTTGATACATAAACACTCAGAAGTCTTGTGGATGCTTTTCCAGTGGAGTGAGGGCTGTTATAGATGCAAAGGATGAGCCAACTCCATATATATGCTCATGTTTTTGGAATAGTGTGTTGGTCAAGTATCAGCAAATTTTTGACCATGTAGTGTAGATGATATAGCAGAATTCAAACAGTGGCTTCACATTTTCAAAAATTTACTTTTAACACTTCCAGTGTTCATAGATCACTTTCCCAGAATATTTCCAGCTAAAATCTAAGTACAAAAGCATAGGGTCAATAATCTCACCTTGTATTTCCATATAGTTTTTCTCAAGCTCTTTACACATGTGCAATCTCCTTTATATCTACCAATGAGTATGTAGTGCAAAGCCTGCTTGATTGGATACAAATTAACTAGATAGCATAGGTAGGTCCTTGTATTACATAGTTTTGCCAGGTCTAAAACTGATTTTACAGTCAGATTGTAATGTGCATGCTAACTAGGAAAAGGAAGACTAGAAAACTAGCCTTCAAAGTGCATAGGGTTTGGTATAAAGAAAAAATAATTTTCTGGAGAAAGAAGCTTTTAAAATAATTAAAATTATAATTCCTAGGAGGGTCCCAATATACCAAAGAATTGGGTGGTTGCATGACATCATTGGCATCATAGAATTAATAAGCAACGCCTTTGGTAAATAAACTGTTGAAAATACCTAAACAAAGATTCAATAAAAAGTGGATCTTCAAGAAATGTACCGTATGTCATAGTTTGGGATGAATAAACACTTGGAGAGCTGAGCATTATGCTACAAGGAATTTTTGAATCAAAAAGCCATATTTTTTACTTTAAGAGCATCGGTAAGAACTGGATGAAGATTGGTTTTATTCGTACACCACCTAAATCCTTGATGAGTGATTACATATAGGAGTTAGCAATTTGAAGCTCAAATGGTTTAGTAAGGAGATTATACACTCTCACTATTTTATCCCATATCCAAAGTCAAGAGATAACAGAGCTGCCAAGTAATAAAGGTTGCAACCAAGTATAGCCTATCCAGCACAATCCAGAGCATTTTGCAAGCAAGTCCATATGAGCTTTGGCCTTTTACCTTTCCGGATAAAGGAGTGAAACAGGCTGCAACTTAAAACATTTAAGCCTTATCAAAGTTTTTGCAAGCTATAAAATATATTTAATATATTTAATAAAGCAAGTTGGATCAACAAAAACATTACAGTGTAAAATTGAAAATCTTAGTTCAAGTTTCATAGTTTTAAATAAAGAATTATGATACATCCAATTTATTTTGTGAAACATGACATTTTCAACACAACCAGCTAATATAACTTGGTAGGAGGGATAGGGCAATGAGACAGAAAGGATATTGGGAGACTGGGTTTGAAGGTCAGTATCTGAAGGGAAAAGGTAGAGAAGAGAAATGATTTGGGAAGGAAAGAAGGGTCAACAGCAGATCATATTCAACAGCATATCACATTAACCTATAAAAATACAAGAATTGCAATTTCAGATAATGTAATCATTTTATATACTATACATTTCCTGTAATATGTCCCTCATGTAGGCGTCAAGCGATCCTAAGAGGTAAAATCATTTTGCCCAAATGTTGTACAATTTATTGTACTGATCCTTACAAAGTTGCATCCATCTCCCTACTTTCATTATGTCATTTACTTTGTTGATCTATTCAAAAATCAGTGGTGGTTTTTCCCAGCTTCACTGGAAAGGAATTAGTCCTTTTGCAGTGTTAATTAAGTAAGGAGTCACACTGAGTTTATATTGTTTTATAGACAGAGGGGTAAGTTGAAAAAGAATAGGCAAGGGGTCATGTGCTATGAGTTTGCATATGAAAGTCCCAGTAGGTTTCATTTTTAGGACAGTCCAACCACATGTGGAAGAACGTGCCACAGTGAGCACAATCACTCCAGCAAGTGTCTTGAATAGCTGGGAAAATGAAGGCTAGGTTGGTTGGGCCTTGGCACCATCTGTTCAATGGTTTGTGACATGACTCTTGTGTGTGGGAGGAAAGGAATGAACTATGGAGAAGGTGAAGGATTTTGTCCTTCTGGGAGTCTAAAATAGTAAGGCTTAGTTCCGATTCCTATTTTCTGAAAAATGCCGTCTTTCATAGCCCAAGTGAAGAATGTTTATCTTAACACAGCCTATCATTTATGGTATTTTTATAATAAAGTTGAACTCCAGTCAGATACCAAAATCATAATTTAATGCAGTTACTGCATGCTTTCATTAAATAGTAAATATACAGCACCTATAAATACAACCACCTGTATTTGTAGGGATA